CCTCATTCCCATCTGCCAGCCTGGCAGGGAGGGGGCAGCAAGGAAGGGCAGCGAGTGGTCAGTGGGGTGCCACAGGGGAGGGGAGCTTACGTTACTGATCTGGTCCTGGGTCTTCTTGATTCTCTGGAGTTCCGGTGTGTCTGCCACCACGCTGAAGCCCTTGCCCTTGTTCTTCTCAAACTCCTCCTTGTAGCGCACCTGGAGGACCCGGACGGGAGAAGCGCTAGAGTCAGGCCAGGGGAGCAGAAAGGGCCCCAGCCTGTGGCCACCTCGGAGGCTGCGACCAGCCAGAGAGAGATCCTGACCAGAACTCCCCCTGTAGGGACATCCACACCCACCCCAACTCAAAGCAGAAGCCTTAACCAAAAAGTATTAAATAACGATAACCCATTAATACGTATTCAGTGCATTCTGAGTGCCAAGCGCTTTACATGAACTATCTCATTTAAATCTTACCCTATACTATTATTAGCTCCAAATAAGGAAACTGAGCCACAGAGACACATAGTCCCTTGCTCAAGGTCACTCAGCTTAGCAGCAAATGTCCAGAGCCACCAAGACGCAAAGCCTCATCTGCAGGACTCCTGACCCTTCATTGCCAGCCCATCCTGCCAGAAAGCTAGAGGAAGAAGGCTCTTTCCAGACTCCAAAGTCGGCACCCCAGTCCTCGCCCTAGCCAGGATGTGGCCCTACCCTCTCAGAGCCCAAGGGAGTTAAGTGACCAGCTAAGTAAGGGCTGTGTCAAGGGACAAAGTTGGTGCCCAGAAAGGAGGGCGGGGAGACAGCCACTCGGAAGACTCAAGAGCCTCGAACAGGCCGCGGCGGCTTCCTGGAGCCTGCCAGGCCAGCCTCTGAGGTCAACAGGGGAGGAGGAAATTGGTGGGGGACAGACAACACTTCAGAACAGGGTCCCAAGCTCTGGGGAAGACCCCTACCATCCCACCACTGCCCTCCTCTTCTGAGAATTCCATGGGTCCTTGAATAGAGGGACTCAAGTCAGACAGCAGAAAGGACTTCCCAAACTCTCAAGGAATTGAAATGAGGATTATTCTGTCCCCCGCTGGGGGCATTTAAAGAACAGAATGGATGCTGAAAATGCCCACGGGGCAGAGAACTGTTCTTGGCTACCGGAGACTTCACTGTGCACCTCGGCAGCCAGCTGTTCCAAACCCCATCAGCTGCCTGGATTTCCTCCATAGGGGCTGCACTGTCCTGGAAGCAGGTCAGCCCAGGACATGAGGCCTAGGACCTTGGGATGACAAGCCCAGGCAGCTCCCAGGCATGGAATCATCTGGCCACAGTGCGGAGCTGCACGCACTATGACCCAACCGACAACACACACGTTTGCAGCCATGGCCACACCTGTCAGTTCCTCTGCACACCCTCCAGGGGTCAGGAGTCCTTATTTGTCCCCTAGAGTCCCAGCTCATCCATCCATGGGCTTCCTCCTAAAAGGTTCCAGAAACTTCTTTGTTTTTTGGGTTTTTTTCTTTAGTTAATCCTCACCTGAGGATAGTTTTTCCATTGATTTTTAGAAAGAGTGGAAGAGAGGATGGGAGGAGGAAGGGGAAGGGGAAGAGAGAGAGAGATAGAGAAACACTGACGTGAGAGAGACACATCGATTGGCTGACTCCCGTACACACCCCTACCAGGGTCGGGGATCACGCGTGCAACCCAGGTATGTGCCATTGACCGGGAATCGAACCCGAGACCCTTCGGTGTGCGGGCCAACACTCTAATCACTGAGCCACACCGGCCAGGGCAGAAATTCCTTTGTTTTGATCCAGACTGAAAACAAAGGCCTGGACATGCTAGTTCCCATCATACAGAAGTTAACACAGTGGATAAAGGTACCAACCCACTCCATGGGCCCAGAACTGCCCAGCCTCAGCCCATCCAGGAAGCCTGTGCTGACATGGTGACTCGGTGTTGGGGTGAGGAGGGGAAACCCTCTGAGAAGAGGCCATCAGGGCAAGTAGGGCACTTAGAGTCCGAAAAATGTAGCTCCAGATACAGAAGCCCCAAATGCAAGGCCTCTGGCCTCGGTTTCCTAGCGTGTAAAAGAGTTGTCACAGGAATCATGGGGAGGGGGGCTTCCTATCCCCAAGCATGGGCAAAGTGCCAGAGGGAGCTGGTACTGACACAGGCTCAGTCTCTGCTTGCTAAGTGACCTTGGGCAAATGATTTAACCTCTTGGGCCTCAGTTTACAAATCTGTAAAACAAATCTGTAAGAATACCACCCCCTCCAATCAATGGTGCAGATTACAGACAGTCGCTCTCCAGCAGTCAGCCCATTGTGGAGCACGCTGTGGGGCTCACCACACACTGATAAGGGTAGTTGTGAAAGTGCTCTGTCAATGTTAAAGTGCTGAACAAACGCCAGTCCCCCACTCCTTCCTCTACTTCCTGGCCTGGCAAGGGTCAGGCCCCTAATCCAGGGGAATAATTGCCATGGCGACATGGTGATGACATCAGCGGGTTCCCAGGCTCAGGAACTGCCTCTCCCTCCCTGCTGGGGAAGGATCATTCATTTATTCCTGGCACAGGGGGTCCAGAGAGGGCAGGGCTGGGTGGAGTCCAGGCAGAGAAAAGACAGAGGCCTGGGCTCAGCACCCCTGTGCTGTGTGTCCCTAGGCAAGTCAGTCCCCCTCTCTGAGTCCCCCACCCAAGAGGGGCTAGCTAGCTGATTTCTAAAAGCCCTCCCAGCTCTGGACTTTGTGACCATTTTTAAGCACCTACAGGTCTAAACTACGAAGAATCAAGCTGAGGAAGATTCTCTGAGAGGCTGTTTGGTGGGGAGCCGGGAGTGTGGGAAGGGCCCTACCTGGAGTCCCTCCATCAGGGCTCCTTATCACCCATGCAAGAATGTTCACCCTCATCTGGGATGGCTTGCCAGGATATGACGAGGGTCTCTGAGGAGGGAAAGGACCTGTTCAAAGCCACTCTGCCCAGTTGTTGATAGGGTCAGGATGCAACTCAGTGCTGTGGCTAGATGACTCTATGCCTGGGAGGCGCCTGGGCCTCCCATCCTGGAAACTCCCAAGGCAGGGCCAGGAGTGACACTTAAGGCTCCTCAAGCCCAGACAACCACCACCTGTGAAACTCTACTTTTTATATGTAATACATTAACTGTTCTCCCAGGATCTATCTTATTCATCACTTATTCCAGCAAACAGTAGGTACAAAGAAATATCTGTAGAGTAAATGATGAATGAACTAAATGGGTACACACAATTTCCAAACAGACAGGCAGCACAGTTTGGAAAATAACTGCCTTACTGACCTATGGTAAGAGGAAAGATCATGATGTAAGAAGAATTCATTGAAAAAAATACAATACCAATAATTTTACCACTTATTTTGTGCCTAGTACATGCTGGGCCCACATAATCCACTCCCTTCTAACGAAAAAGAAATCAGGTTTGAAATTAGACACACAGAGAAGGGGAGGAGCAGTGATGGAAAAGGTCAGTGCTGGAAGCAACCATCAGATCGCTGTGCCTGCTTCATCAGGCCCAAGTTCCACTGCCTCTCTGTTCCAGGAAAACAGGAATAGCAAACATCTATTGAGTGCTGCCTCTATACCAGGAACCATTCGAAATGCCTCCTATATACTAACATCCTCACAGCAACCTTTGGAGAGAGATTACGTAATCCCCATTTTACAGATGAAGGCACTCAGGCTCAGAGATTTTAAATAACTTGCCCAAGGTCACAGCTAGCAGTGGCAGACCCAGGATTTGACCTCTGGCCATCTGACTCAGTTAAGAATGACACAGATATGGTATCTGAGGTCACAGGATCCAAGATAAGAGACCCAGGGCATGCATGGGGCTCTCCTGTCTCCTTTGGCAAGTCCCAGGCTGTGCTGCACCCTGGAGGTATGACAATGTGGGGGGAAATGAAAGAGACATTCTCTTTGCACTTCTGCCTGGGCTCAGGGGGCCACACACATAGACACCCCCAGCTCAGCTCCACCCCAAAGATGTTGGTTGGGAGAGCTGCAGAGGGGCCAGTGCTGGGGCCCAGCTGCCAGTTCCCTGCCTCAGCCAAGCCTGGTCAGGACCACCCAGAGGGTCATTTCTGGTCAGCTCTGTGGTTCCTTCCCCCGCAGGGGAGGCTCCAGGTGTCCCAGACACCCAAAGTACCACTTGGGGAACCAATCTGGAGACTGGAAAACAAAGTTGAAATAGCACAGGCAGCTTCCCAGAGACAGAAGGGGCGAGACGCACCAATGCAAGCCCAGGAAAGGGCCCTGGAAAGAAACCAGCTGATACCCTGGTGGGGTGGGGCAGGGTAGGCAGAGGAGGCTCCCACTTCCCTTCCTGCCAGCCACAGGCAGCTCTAGCCAGCCCTGCCCCCACAGCAGCCACAGGAACCAGAACCTGTCACCACCCCCAGGCAGGCCAGCTCAGCCCTTCCAAGCCTCAGAGCAGCAGGCCCAGCCGCTGACCTCTAGGTAACCGGGGTTTGCTGTCCCCACTTTACAGGGGAAGAAAAAATAGCCATGAGAGGCAAGTGGCCATGCTCAGACCACACAGCTGGGGGAGAGGAGACAGAACCAAGCCTGCAAAGAGGGCAGGTCCTGCCTCCACCCTCTGCCTACCCCAGGCCCCAGCCCCTGAGGAGCCCAGCTACAGATTAGAGCTATGTTATCAATACAAAGCCCTAATCCCAGGGCCCATGCCTGTCCCTGCAAAAAAGAGGCTGAGCTCAGGTCCCTCAGCTCCAACCTGATCCCCGGCCCAGCTCTAAGCCTCTCAGATTATGTCTATGGGACCAAAAGCTTTCAGCCGAATCACCAAGGCAGTCAAAACCAAATTCCTGGACCCCACCTGGAAGCCCCTTGGGTGCATTCTAACAAGTCCCCAGTCCCTTTTGCTGACTAGTGCATCCTGTGGGTTGAGAGCATGGGGCTGGGGGCCACAGAAGGCTGCAGAACTGCTCAGAGCAAAGGGCTTGAAATCTGCATCTGGGCAAGTAGCATGGCTTCTCTAAATCTCAGTGTCCCCATCTGTACAATGGGGATAACAAATCCCTCCTTTAGCAGCCAAAGGTGAGGTTTAAATGAGGTCAAGGCCTGGCCCGGCCGGGCGTGGCTCAGCGGTTGAGCGTCGACCTGGGATCCAGGCGATCAGGGTTCAATTCCCGGTCAGGGCACATGCCCGGGTTGCGGGCTGCAGCCAATCAATGACTCTCTCATCATTGATGTTTCTGTCTCTCTCTCTCCCTCTCCTTTCCTCTCTCTGAAATCAATAAAGATATATTTAAAAAAAAAAAAAAATTAAATAAAAAAAAATGAGGTCAAGCCTGGAGCTCAATGAGGACCTACAGGAGAGTGACTGCCATTCTCATGATTTCCCCAGCCTGCCCGCGTCAGGAGCCTGGAAGTCCAGATGATGACTCAGGAGGGCCCCTGGGGACCAGGGGGTTCCCCTCAGGGATCAGATTCCAGGGACAAAAAAGACCTTCAGCCAAGCTTCTCTGAGACCAACAAAGGCTGAGGAATTAGACCGGTTTGAATTTCTCCTCTGAAAGTAAGGACGTGTATGTGTCTCCTTTGCCTCTACCTGAGTGTGCACACACCCCCACACCTCCGGACCCACACCTTTTACCCGCTGTCCCCCCCACACCTCTTCCTCCAGGTCCCGCAGGGTTCTGACTGCCCCTCTTAAGCTGTGGCTTGAATACAGGTCACCTCCCGATGCTCTGGCCTGCCCACCCCCGTGAGGCCCCCTCCACCTCTGGCCCCTGTGGACTCCCTGCAGGTGGGGAGTCTGGGCAGCAGTCAGGGCCTGGCGAGGGTCTGGCCAGAATCCTCCGTGTGCAGACCAACCCCTCTTCCTGCCAGCTCGGCCACCCGGCCCTTCTCAGTTGGCAGAGGTCTGGTGTCCTCACCGGCTCCCCCAGTAACTACAGCTTTCACCGCAGCAGGGGTGGGGGCTCGGCTGGCAGGTGTGAGCTGCTGCCAAGGAACAAACCAGCTTCCTCCACGTGCTCCCCATCCCGGTGGGCCCCATCTGGGCTGCACATGTCAAGGTCGCTATACTCGAGTGAAAAACCAGGGCCCAGATACTAAAACCTCATTTAGCGCGTATGTCCACAGCCAAGGGCCACTGCCTGTCTCAGCCTTGGTTCCCTTTTCTGACCCCCAGAGGAGGGTCAAGGATAAATGAGGCCAAGTAACTCAAAGCACCTGCTAAGGTACAAAAGTTTTCACCAGCATGTTTCAAGGTAGAGACAGTGCTCCTCGGGGAGTTGGGCAGAGAACCAACCAACTTGAACACAAATCTCAAGAGTTAGACTAGCAGCATTCAGAGCCGTGAGCATCTATTTCCTTTTCCATAAAGTGGAAACGATCCTGCCAACTGCAAAGGGCTGTTGTGAAGACTGAACTAATATGCTCATTCAATATGCACTCGATGTACTGGTTGTAAATATTGTTATTACCTCCACTACTACGTATGATCTTAGCATATCCCTTACTGTCTCTGAGCCTGTTTCCTCATCTGTACAATGGGAAACAGCACCTTCCTCACAGGGTGCTGGGAGGGTTAAGTGAGAATGCAAATAAAGCCCTAGACAGTGCAGGGCTGGTTCTCCCTCAGGAGACCTACTGGGAAACAGGGACCCAGAGAGGTCATGCCAAGATCATGCAGCAGGAGCCCCACTCCAGAGGGAGCAGGAGAGGTCCCCTCTGCAGCCCAGGTGCATCCTCTATAATATTTTCCTGGCCCTGGGCACCCTGGGTTAAGGTTCCCAAGGGGTCTTTGCTGCACCACCCCGCCCCACCCCATAGTCTAGGCCAGTTTTGTCCCAGAAGCCCTCCCAGACCCCCAGGCAGGGTCAGCTGTTCTGGTTTCAGGGGTCTTATTCCTCAGTGTCCCCAAAAGACTGAGTTCTCCCTGGGGCAGGAACTCCATCTCCTCCCCTACTGCATGGCACCCACCACTTCCCACACGGCAGGTGCTCAGGAAAATCAGGCCCAAGAAGACAAAAGCAGACAAGCCCCCCAGGCCAGGGCGCCCTCAGAGGGGCGCAGGAGGCTTGGGGAAAAGGCTACACAGGGTGGGCTGTGTAACCTCAGACTGGCAGAAGCCTAGGGAGGTGAGTTCCCTCCTTTGGGGGTGAGTAGAGAAGAAGAATAGGGGAACAGCTGCCTGGAGGAGGTGGGCTTTAGGGGTCCCACATGAAATTTCCCAGAGCAGAAAGAATCAGACGTCGACACCTCTCCAACTCACTTTAGGTAAGAAGGGGGCACACTCTCCCCTACTCCTTTGATAAAGTCAGGAAATATGAAGTAACAGGGTGCGGGGTTGGGGGCAGGGAAGCAAGGCAAGTGCTACGATTTCAGCACCTTGGCCTTGCTGAGTAACCCCAGGGGAAGGAGCCCTTGCCAAACGCAGGGGTTACAACAGCCCTCCCTCCCCACCCTGCCCCAGCAGCGGCTCACCTGACTCTGGAGCTCGCTCTGTTGCTTGAGGCGGAGGTTTTCCGGGGTGTCAGCCACCATGGTGAAGGACTGCTTGGGGTAGTGTCTGCAGGACAGAACAAACAAGTGGGGGGTCACTCTGGGGAAAAGGCAGGAACCTCCAGGCCTCTCACAGACTCTTGACTCTCTCCTGGCAACTTCCTCTCATCCATGGGCAGGCCCTGCCCCTGCCCCAGGAGCAGGACCATAGTGTCCACCCACAAAGAGGGAGGCAAGTATCTCTTAGACTCAGCCTGGGCTGAACTGGGAGAACTGTCCTGAGCCAAAGGAAGGCCATGGGGACACCCAGAGGGTTTCAGATCACCCTTGTTTGGGGATAATCCATGCCTTAGTCTACCAACCAAGGAAGTGAAGGGGGCTTGGCCAGACTGCGGAGAAGATGAGGCTGGATCAGGGCAAAGCTTTCAGCTAAGACCAGAAATGGAGACCAACCAAGAAGAGGAAGGGCAGGAGGGATATGGAGCCAAAAATGAAAGAGAAAGGGACATGCATACCCAGGGGGCTTCCTGGAGGAGGTGGCAAGAAAGAAAAAATGCACACATCCAGAGTGGTATTTCAAAGGGCTAACAAGGTCAAACCTAACTGAAGTGTAGGTGAGAGATCAGCTTGAAGGCAGAAAAGAGGTGACCCTCGGGTGACAGATAACACTGCAGCAACAGCTGATGTTTGTCCTGTGCTAAGGGCATACATGCCTTAGTTCATCAAATTCTCACAAGCACCCTACTATCCCCTTTGACAGATGACAGAACTGAGGCTCAGAAAAGTTAAACAAATGTGACCAAGGCACAAGGCCAGGAAGTGCTGGCATCCAGATTGGCACCCAGACAATCTCCCCAAGACCCAGCACCTTAAACCAAACCCTTCCATCTCCAGGCACCAGACAGACCAGAGTCCTGTCCTCCCGAAAGAGGGCTGGCTTGGAGGTAGCAGGAGTCAGGGAAGCCCTCAGAGCCAGGTCCACAGGGACTTCTCAGACCATCTGGCCCAACTCCCTCGTTTCCCAGGGGAGGAAACAGTGTACTGGCACCAAGCACTTAGGTGACTTCATAATTAACTTATTTATCACATTGGTTTATTGTCTTTTCTCTCCACTACTTCTCTATGAGGTGAGGGGGTTCTTTTTGGTCTCTTCTGGTCATTGATACATCCCAAGCTCCTAGAATACTGCTTGTTATCCAATAAATATTTACTGAATACACGAATGTCGCACCAGGCATCAAAGCTGGGCTGGGACTAGAACTCAGGTCTCCTACATCCCACTAGGTCACCACAAAGTCCCCAGGACACCAGCTAAAGGAGAGGCAGCCCTGAGTCACTGTGGCTTGTGTACTTGTGCTCAGATGTAAAATGGCTGGGGGTCGGCATGGGCCCCAACTATTTCAGGGACTGGTGGGTGGCTTCTCTAATTAGAAGCCGAGATCTGGCCATTTTCAGCCCTGGGTGACCACACCCCACCACAGCTGCGACTAGCGGCAGATCCCTCATTCACAGGCTGTCCCTGGAGTCAGAGGAGAACTGCTCCCTTCCAGGCACGTTCCACCCCAGTCGGCTGACATGCCCCAGAGCTGGACACAAGCAGCCCTCCAGTCTCTGTGTCCTCACCAAACCTGGCATGTTCTCCAGCCGCCCGCACCACCCTGAACCAGAGCTACTGGTGAACACGTGACTTCCCTCAGTGAAGAGCAGGACTTGGGGTTTGGAGGACTCAGCCAAGGGGGTGGGGGCACAGTGCTGGACTCTGGCCCTGCCACTGACTCGCTGGGTGACTGGCAAATCCTTGTTCCCTCTGGGCTAGTTTCACAGTGATTCTAGCTGTGTTCCCAACCCCCTAGCCTCCACTGCCCAGCCTGGGTCCCACCTCCCAGGTCAGCCCAGGCCCGCAGCTGCCCCAGCAGAGGGAGGAAGAGAGGAGACTGAAAAGTAAACACAGGTGCCTGCAGTTGGCATGCCCTGCAGATGAATGTGGGGCCGAGGCTGGGGGCCAATCCCCAGGCTTGGCCCAGTTCAATGAAACCAGGGCCCCCACAGCTGAGCAGTGCCATTCAAAATTCCTAAGCAGTTCCAGGGAAAGGGAGACTGGGCATCTAGTCTGTTCCCAGAGGCTAGAAAAAGAACAGCAGGAGGGATCCAAGTAAGATCTCTAGCAGAACTGGCTGGCTCTGAGGTCCTAAAAGGGAGAGTTTCAGAGATGACCCTTCCAACAAATAAGAACCGTTCTGAAGGCATCACGGGATGAGGAGAGCATCTATAAGTACAGACTCATGCAGCAGGGAGGTCAGGTCCTAAAGCAGGGGCACTGAGGAGACTTGAAGGGTCAGTTCTGAGGAGATGGCACTGGTCAGCATTTGGTGTAGAAGGGGAGCTGGCAGCCTCGGCAAAAGGCAAACACATGTGCACGGGAGCCAGTCTGCAAACCAGGGGTCTCCGAGTGCACACGGTTAAAAAGGAGTGCCAGCTGCAGTGGCCCAAGGACAGCTAGGCATGTGTACCTGACATGCACCCCCACCCTGCAGTTCCAAGGCTCCTCCACACACTGCACTATTCCTCACACACAATACAGGTACAGATGAGCCTTCTGCAGCGACACGCGTCTCCTAGACACCGAGGTCAGCAGGTCCACACCAGCGCTCATTACAGACCACGTTCACACACCTCCTACACCCCCTACACGCCACCAGGGATTTCAGGAGCGCCCCCAACATGCAGCAAGTACCTGTGGGTGGGGTTGGCGGGTATCTCATCCCCTCTTTGGAGTCATATGACACCCAGATCTCAGCCCTCCCACAGCCAGAGCACTAACCCTTTTGGAAGGGAGGGGGTAACCAGCCTACATGTGGACTCGGCTTAATGTGGCAGGGGAAGGAAAGGGATTTTAATCCTGCATCAGATTAACTAGATTTAAAAAGAGCTGCAGCGTCCCAATCTCTTACCCTCGCCTCCTAAAACCCAACCCCAGCCCCGAGGAAGGCAGGCAGACATGTAGTTTGAGCTATATTCCCCCTGCTGGGTCAACCCTGTCCCCTCCCCACAGCCCCCAGCCCTGGTTTGACAACCCTGCCTATCCCTTCCTCTGCTCACTGCGCTTCAGGTTCCCATGGCAACCTCATCCTCAGCTCCAGGCGGGAGAGCAGGGAGAGCAGACAGAGACAGGGTCTGTGGGGGTGGGGAGGAGACAGACAGTAAGGGTGTCCTCGACTGCAGAGGACCCATGAGGACAAAACCAGGAGACTGTGTCTGCAGGATCCTTGCAGACAATTTAGGCGAGGAGGACAGGGGCCAGGGATTTGCCTTTCGAGGGGTGGACGCAGCAGCATCCGTGCTGTGCCCCTCCCCCGCCAGCATGACTGCCCTGGAAAGGGCCCCGACTGATCTGACCTCCTTCCTGAAACAATTGCTGGGACTTTTACCTTTTCCCTCCCTCTCTGTCCTCAGGTTTAAGCTCTGCCCACCCACTACCCTCACATCCCAGTTGAGATGAATGGATGTGTGTGTCTGCCATTGTGGGCACTGAGACAGAAGAGGGGCCACCCGCCCCCAGCGAGTGACCCCACTGGAACCCCAGCCCCAGCAACAGACTGGGCCATGGTGAGGGAACAAGAGGGCCAGCATGCGGAGAACCAGGCGTCCTAACCCTGGCCTGGAGCTGGGGCCAGAGCACAGCTGCTCTTTGTCCCTTCGGGCCAGCCTCCCTGTTAATCATTCCAAGCAGTGGGTCCTCTGCAATGCCCCTCCCCACCCTCCGTAGCAGGATCAGCTGCTCCGGGGAAGAGAGGCATGGAGAGAGCACAGGACAGGACAGGAAGTCTGGAGGACAGGGGAAGGGTCCACGAGGGCAAGAACAGGGCAGCGGCCGGGAAAACAGGCAGCTCTCAGGAGCGGCCAAGGCCTCCAAGGGAACTTACAGGCACAGAGAGATTTCTTGATAGACTGTAAGCCGTGTACATGCCCTCTTGAAATCTGCCACAAGGCTATAGACTAGAAAAGGCAGTGTTATCAACGTGCCCATTTTATAGAGAAAGAAACTGAGGCTCAGTGTCAAGGAGGGAGACCTTGCCCAATGCGCTTTCCCCTCCACCACAGCTACTCACCAGCTAAAGGCAAGCAGACAGGGCTCTCTCAGGTGGACCCGTCCACCCCCACCTCTCAGACCTCTGGGGAAACATGTGCTTGGCAGGGTGGGCGAAGAACAAAGTAATTTATCTTTCCAACCCAACCTGTTTCCAAGCTTGGCTATGATGAGAGACCCTCTGGGGTCTCTTAGCTACCCCTAGTCAAAAGCCACTTTCCCCTTATAAGTTTTTTAAGCAGGTGTCTCAAGAGTCCAAACAATGACCTGTGGGGATGCAGGAAAAGGGGCCTCTGCCCCAGGAGAGGGGTTATCCCTGAGGACCTCTGAGCCTCCTGTGAGGACAGGGAGGATGCTGAGAAGCTGCTGGGCTCCTGCTTCTGTGCTTATTGGGGACAGGGGCAGCTTGTAGGACACAGCCCCACTCCCAATCCTGCCATTAGTTATGTCCTAGAGGCAGAAGAAAAACAGACCAGAGAGCCTGAAAGCCCAGCGCCCCCTTCTGCATGCCCCCTCTTCCAGCCTCAGACTCATTAAAAAACCACAGCTTTTTGTTCAAGGAGGAACAAAAATACATCAACAAAAGCAACAAGGAGCCTTTGGTTTTATCAAAAGGGGGGGCAGTTCCCAACATCCTGCCTCTGGAAGTTGCTGCTGATCCCCTGCTGGGAACACTGCCCATGGGAGGCAGGGAGGGCTCCCTTCTAACCCAGTTTCTCACCAGTCCCCTAGGCCTAAGGGTTGAAGTAGTGAGGATAGGAAGCAACAAGGAGGCATTGTTTGACCAGAGGAAAAAAATGAGCAGCTAAAAAGATCAAGGCTAGACATGAAGAAGAACTTACCAGCCCTCAGGGGTTGGAGACAAACTGTAGAATCAAAGCCAGCTACTGCCCCTGATGGCAATACATAAAAAGCAATGATTCTGCCAAGTTGGGCAAGGCATGGAAACACTGGGCCTCAGTATCCTCATCTATGAAATGGGGGTATTATGAACCCTGAAGTTCCTTGAGGCCCTGACATCTCCGAGTGCAAGGATCTGGGAGTGAGAGTGAGGTGTGGGTTCTACCTGGAAGCTGCATCTGGCCACTGTGGATGCCCCTTTGAGCACGCCTCCCCTATCCCAAACACAGAGCACACACACCCCTCCCACTCCTGGTACTACCCTGGCTCCCTAAGACATTGGATCTCACTTTGCCTAGTCAGAGGCAGAAAATTCTGGGAAGGCAGGAAAGCCCCAGGCCCCAGATCTGGATTTGCCCACTACTGCCCAATCCCCTAAAAGCAGCTGGGATTTGAGAGTTTGCTAGAATGCAGAGATACTTCGAGCACCCAGCTCCACCAGCACAGGCCCACCCCCACTCTCTGAGGCCTGGTGGAAGGAGCAGGACCACAGTCCCTTGTTCCCCAGAACCAGGCACATCTCCATCCTGCTCAGCCCCTCCCCACACAGCTCAAGGACACTGAAGGATGGACCCCTGATATCTGCAGTCAGTGAAGAGGGAAAGGATAACAATGGAGCACCCCCTTTCCTTCCTGGCCCATGTCCACTCCCCCACTTGACACCCCAAAAGCTGGCTCCCCTCCTGGCCTACAACTTCACGCCAGGACTGCAGCCTCCATTTAGTCATGGCCTCAAGAAGGAGAGAAGAGCACATTTCTCCCCACCCCCGCCCTGTCCTGACCTCCAGACTCTTAGTTGCACGAAAACAAAGCAGCAGGTTTGCAGTGTGGCCAGATCTGCCCCACTTTCAGAAAATGTAGTTTACAAAACGAATAACCAAGGGTATAACTATCCCGCTACCCCAAATGAAGCAGACTCATCCCACCTACCTAGAAGCTTCAAGAAAGAATTCAATTAACTGGTTGTCCCACTGCTGGCCGGTGAGCAAAAACAGAGGCATGCACGCCTCTACCTTGCGGTAGCACAGCAGTGCCTGGGTGGCTGCGGCCTGGGAAGTGTGAACACAGACGCAGCCTATCCAGTCGACCTCCCTGGCTTTTCTCCCCAGCCCCACGTCCGGCAACGTGTGCGTCTGGATACACCCCAGGCACGTGTGTGAGAGCATGTCCATGGGGTGCACCACCACCCAGCAGGCCAGCTGCGAGCTCTGGCCTGTATTCTCCCCCATGCCTGGCTCTCAAGCAAGTCTGGTGCAAGGAGAGAAATCGAAGAGGCCTTCTTGCTGCTTACAGTCCCTTTCCAGAGCTTAAATTAGTCTTGAGATGCCACCGGGAAAAGACAGACATCCCGCGGCTCAGGGACTAGCCAGAGACTGGCGAAATGCAGAGGCCTCCCTGTATGCCAAACTCATACTCACTCACTGGGTGGGCCCAACTCCCTGGCAAAGCGCCAGGAGAGACCACCTGCCTCTCTGGGTTCTGAATGGGAGGTGCTGCTGAGAGGGAAGCCAGGCCTGGTCCACAAAGCAAGACCAGGATGGGAATCAGGGCAAAGCTATACCCTGGACACCCCAGAATTCAGAAGCTGAATGTCACTGGAGGATGGGGCCAGAGGCAGGAAGAAAACAGGAAGGAAAGAGAGCGAACATTCAGCACAGTGCCTGGCACACAGCAGGTACTCAATATTCTTTGGGGTGTGGTCCAGCGTCCCAGGGTACGAAGTTTTAACCACAGGGAAACGGAGGCTCAGACAAGTCTACAGGGTGCTCCTTGCAGGCCAAGACTGCATCTGGTTTATCCTGGAATTTCCACGTGTGGATAGCTGGCACAGACCAACTCCTCAGCAGAAGCTGGCTGAGGAAGTGTGAATGCCTCGGGCAAGGTGCTACTACACTGGAGTGAAACACTGCTGGACCGCAGAGCAAAGCCCCCAGGTCTCCTCCTACCCAGGCACCAACCGAGCTGGGCCAAAGGTCAACTGGGCATGGCACAGGCCAAGGCTATAAAGGCTGGGGGAAGGGAGAGGGGTCAATGTGCTTCTCTGGCCAGCAGCCAGGAGTCAGACAGGAAACCTCTACCTAGACAGCTTGGAAGCACACCCAAGGAGGGGTATTTCATCTTCTGCCTCCCCTAGAGTGCCCCCAACCAATCCAAGGAACTCCTCACCCCACTTACTGCAGTGTCCCCAGAAGAGAGTGAGAAAAGTAAGCTGGGACTTTGGCACTAGGCTGAGAAAATACTGAGAAAACAAGGACACGCCTCTGATTTCTTTCTCCAGCTCCCAGTGCTCACTGAATTCTAGGCTACTGCAGTCTCAGGGAAGAGCTGTTCAGACGCATCAGTCCCTGCCACCCACTGGGCTCAGGACTCAGCCAGGTTGCTGCTGGAGGGACTGAGAGCCAGAAGCTGTCCCCAAAGGAGCCTTGGTGCCCAGAATCCAGCCTGAAGTGGTCCAGCAATCAAGGAGTTAAAACTGCCCCAGCCTCTGGCTTTGCAGAACCCCACCCCACTCCCCAACAGAGGGAGGAAGTGGCAGAGAATCAGGGCTTGTGTGAGTCCTTAAGAATTCGAGGAATGTCCCATTTCCCT